TCTCCCCCCTCAGAGCACCCCGCAGGGGCTTCTGGTCCTCTCTGGATAAGGCCTTGGGCAAGACATTGTACCAGTCAGTGCTCAGAAGCTATGGGAAATGTTCTGTGGCGTCGAGTTCAGTCTGGCTTTGACAGCCCAAGCCTCTGTACTGGACCCTCTGGTTTGCGATCCCCCTAACCAGCTGGAAGTTTCTGTATTCTCAGAAGTGCAGGGACCTCATGCCCCTCTCAGTACCCTAACCTGGTTTGGGGAGAGAAAGCTAGGAGTGGTGGCTGTACTGGTCTTTTGGTGTGACCTGGGGTTCACTTGGGGGCTCCTGGAAACGGTGGGTGGCAGAGCTGCAGGTCTTGAGGAATCCGTCAGAACTGTATGCGTCAGGGAGAGGAGGTAACTTCTCAGAGCTTCTGGCTTTCCCTCACGGGAAGATCTACATTTCCAAAGGGATTTGGTTATTATTCAGTATTTTAGTCATGAATCTTTTTTAGACTGATGAAAGCCATCCATCCACCTTTTATCCAGAAAAATGGGTGGCTGTAACCCTGTGCACACATGTGCATATGTACACACTCATACACACTCCAAAGGTTCACAGACCCTTGGTTAAGAACTCCTGAATTCTAGAAGGAGGTATAAGTTTTGGCACCAAAATGAGAGCAGAGAAGGTTCCAGGTGGTGTTGAGGGGCAGATTCCACCTGAAGGACTGGCTCTACTCTGAGCCAGGCAGTTGGCTGTTTGATCTGAAGAGCTTGTACCTGTTTCACATACAGGTGCTCAAGAGGCCTCCCTACCATCAACCCTGTGCTAGGCTTGGGGAGGGAAAGCCAGGAGGGAGAAAAACTCTGGACACCTCTGTCCAATGCCCAGCCATGAGGTATGTTGCAGAATTGGAGGAGAGCGAGAGGAAGGCCTTAAATAGCACATGTGCTCTGGCTAGGTACTGGCTAGGCATTTTGACCATCCATAGCTCATTTACACTTCACAAAACCCCTATAAGTTAGGGACTACTATTCTGCTTTCCCTGATGAGGATTATGAGATTGAGGGAGTTCATTGTTCAAGGTCATCCAGCTAGTAAGTGGCACAGCAGGGACTGAAGCCCAGGTCTCCCAGGCATCAAAGCCCCGTTGCAGTATTCACACTTGTACTGAAGAAATTTTTCCATCCTATTCCCATGGCTTCTGTGCCAGCCTAGGGGGCAAGCAGGCTGAGGGCTGTTACACCATTTCTGGCCTTAGTCACCATGGTTCCAGATGCGTCTACCAGGTCCTTCACTTATCCTCCCGGCACAAACCAGATTCATGCCAACTTTTCACTCTAATGTGGTCTGCACCTAAAATACTCCTGTAGCTTCACAAAGTTTGAATTTAATTCCTTCAAAGTCCAGCTAATTAACATCCTGCTTTCTCTGTGCTGTCTTCTCTGACCTGACCCATTCCTATAGCAGGCCATGATGCCTGTCCCTCTCCCCACAGAGCTCTAAAATAGGCTCATTTCTCCCCTTCCCCCAGCCTGGCTTTGTTCTGGATAATCCTACATCGCCCTGTCTTGACTTAGAGCCATGGCAGGGCGGGTGTTCAAAACACACTGGGCCCCAAGTTGCCTCGGCCGGTCCTCCACATAAATCAGGCATTTCAAAAGTTATTCCTCTTGATGACGAGGCCATGTTAACTGTATAGACAGGAAAACCTAACCCAGTAGTTCGGGATGTTTCCAAGGGCTCCTTGCCGTGTCTGGCAGGCAGGCTTTCTCCTCCCCACCAGGCTTTTGCCTGCTCTAGACCTCAGTCCAGTTGAGGAGTGCAATGTCTGTCATCCAGTTCACCAACCACAGCTGCACTGTGTAAAAGGGGCGGAAGAACAAAAAGACCATGAGACAACACCACGGCTTTTGAAACAGGTATGTAGGCTCTCTTGTTTAATAGCAGTTAAAAGAGGAAAATGTACAGGAGAAATAAACATGCTCTTTCCACATAGGAGGTTTTCCACTAATCATGAGACCCATCTGCATCAGTAGCTTTACTAGTGAGTTTTAAAGAAAAAAGTTTCCTTTAGAGTTAAAAATGGACTCTCCTAAATCTCCTCCATAAATGTGCAACTATTTGTGCAAAATAAAAAGGCCATTTCCAACACATTAGTAAAAAGTAATTGTGAACGCAGGTGAAAAAAAAAAAAAAAGAGGCAACTGAAGCAGCCAGGAGCAGAGTCCTGGGAGAAGGGAGGCTAAGGTATGGGGATTTCTGGAGCAGGCCCCAGGGAGCGTGCTCAGAGGCCTTAAGAGGCAGATCATGGCCAAGGCCAATCTTGGGGATAAAGGGCCCTGGGTCTGGGACTTGCTGAGCAAGCACTTGTCAAGTGTGCATTGTGGCTAGGCTGGCTTTGAGGCCTGGGAGACTGTTAGGCCTGGTAAGCAATGGAAACACTCTGGAAGCTGGACATTCCCTTTGCCAATGGGGACTCTGCTGGTTCCAATTTCCAGGTCCTGTTCTTCCCCACTCCCAACAGTTTCATTTACAATCTACTCAAAGAGATTTTCCTATGAATGTTAAAACTATGCAACCTGCTCATATTACTACTGAAACCCACTAGGATCGCAAACCAGACTGTCCCTTCAGGAACACTGACCTGGTTTCCCCGAAGGTGGGTAGGCTTCCAGCCACCCATGTTCTCATCCTCTTATTGAGGTCTCCAGGGCATGTCTATATCTTTGGGCATTTGAGGCCAGATCTGAGGAGTCTGAGGGGCATGGGCACATACGCTTTGCATAAGTCGTCTCAAGGGCTGGCTCAGCTAGAGGCCTATAGACAAAACTAAAAAATCCTACTTCACCAATTCAAACAACTTAGACATTGCTGGTCCCTGCTTTTTACCTTCCCCTGCCCACCAAGAGTGTGTCTCTACAGACAACTCAGTAGCAGCATGTTGGTTTTGTTAGGGAAGACTGAAGGCAGACTGAGAGGGGAGAAGAGCTCTACTAAGGGGTCCACCCTTATGAGCCTTGAGCTTGAATAAGCTTTTTCTTTAGAGGGACTTCTGTGTGCAAGGTGCAGAGTAACCCTCATTCCTCCACTCTGTTCACTTTTTCCTCTATAGCACAGTTTTTCCAGGGTACAGGTTTGAGACCAGACCAGCAATGATGACTCTCGAAAAAGACAAAATTTGTGACATGCTTAAGGTTCTCCATTCCAAGTCTCAGCCCTCAAAGCTGAAGAGATCTGGCAGCAAACTGGGGCTAGTGAAGGAGAGTGTTCTGGGCCCTTAAGCAATAGGACTTCAGATTAGTGTACTCATTTCTCACGCTTTTTCAATAAAGACCAGGGCTTTGGAGATGTCATCTTGGGTCTCATTCCCATGGGCCCATGCCTTCTCTTGGCTTTTGAAGTTCTAAGTGGCAGCACTCATCCCTGACCCTCATCCTAAGACCCTGGGACAATTGCCTAGCCGTCAGGATGAGCCTCAGAAGCCTTCTGCAGAGCTCACATGCAGCCTGGTTTCTCCAACTTTGAGGAAGGCTGCATGTCTGTGTGCACACTCTCTTCCTCACAGTTTTCAAGCTGTGATAGGATGGGGGGTTGGGGGTGGGGAGTGAAAAAGGAATCACTGCCTTCCCCAGAAGCAACTCAGTAGCTGACAAAGGTAGTGAAGAATTCTGTTTGATGAGTTTCTCCTCCCACTAATCCAAGCTGGAAATGCCTGTGTGGCTTATTTGTCATTGTTTGGTGATGCACAATGATACTCTTGCCAGTAGCCATAGTGCTTCCTGAAGAGTCTTAAAGTGCAGGTTCTTCTCACTGACCTCATAGCAAATCCCTTGCATTAAGTCTCAGGAGCCCACTTGGGACAGAGGACACAGCCTCCAAGCTAGCTGCCCCTGGCTTCCTGTGCAAACTCCAGAGTTTCGGGGATAGGATTATAGACAATCTTTCTCAGATGAGGCCAAAAGATGGCTATGGGGATCTCAAAAGAGGATAGAAGCCTTGGGCTATAGCAAGAAGAGCTTCATATCCAGCATAGGACTTAATGAGGGACAGCTGGGCCAGAGGCAAAAACCACTAGCCATGGTTGGCCCTGTTGCCTTCAGGGTGACAGTGGTTCCATCCCTAGAGGCATCCAATCCAGCTGTGGCTGCTCCCACAGTGCAGAGCTGGCGACATATCCTTTCAAGATGGTGGCCATAAAGTTGGTTTTAAAACACAAAGGAACAATCCCAAGTTATCTTCTGGTTTTACCCAAGGGTGAAGTAAGGGCCATTTTCAGGCTTCTGGAATCTGATCTATCCCAATGACACTGCTGGAGGAGGTCAGGTCTGAGCCTCTCTGTAAAGACCTATGGAAATAACTGTTGACCTATGCCCTGAACCAAGTGCCCTGACCCTCAAAGAAGGAAATGAGATGAATGGGGAAGGGACAGAGCCTCTGATTCTATTCACACTGGTTTTCAAGATCCAGGAAAACTCTTGGTGTGGGGGCAACTTGCAGTTAGTCATCGGGTCCAAATATTATCACTGCATACTTAGCTCTATCCTGCCCCAGAAAAATTAGCAGTAAAAGCATTGGGTTAGATCTAGGCTAAAGAAACAGCCATACTTCAGGGACTGGAGTGAAGTTGTCATCTTGCCACATGCCACTCTTGTTCACCAGCCAATGACAGTCAGTGGACTGAGGAGATGAACCTCCAGAACTGTGTGCTGGTCTTTCATTTACTAAATAGTAATGTTTTCCAGGTCCTTTCCTTGTGTGAAGAAGAATCAGCCCCCACCATGCGGTGAATGGGGGACCCAGGAGTGTACAGGAGATACTGTACTATCCTTTTGCTGACTCACCTTACCGCCCAGTGCCAAGTACGCATTTGTTTGTGTAGTTCCTGAGCTCCACACCTAAGCTCTAGAGCCATGGATGAAAGGTGGTTCATCATACTGGGACTGATGACACCACCATCTCTAGGATAATACAGAGAGTATAGTATAACTTCCCCTGAGTCCCAGCCTAGCGACATCTCATGTACTTGCTTATTCTTGTGCCTCTTTTACTATAGGGAAAGGTTATGTGAATACTGTACATAGGTTATTAAAAAAATACATTTGCTCTCTTTGAAGAAGAATGCACAAATGCATGGCCACCCAGGGCTGGGCCCAGGACTGTGGGGCTGCAGCAAGCAGCCTCTGTGGGCCTGAGGCCAGCCTTCATGAGTGGTGGCTGCTGATGAGTCCCCGAAGCTGCTTGGCCACAGTGTCAATCAATTTCTGCTTGTCTCGCTCATTTTTCCGAAACTGTGCAAACATGTTGTTCTTGCGGCTAGTGTCCTTCATCCTAAACAGAAGGAAAGAAAGAGAGCAAAATGTTTGAGGAGACAACAGTGTTAGGAGACCTTGCAGGAGGTAGGATGGCACAGTGTATCTTCACCACCACTCAGAGTTGAGGGAGTCCAGAATATTTCCATTGTCAGGCCCATACTTACCTACCAGGCAGGAAGCTGTCCTGCTGGCACCCACAGCCCTCCCAACTTTGGAAAATAGTCAAGAGCCAGCTATGGAAGGGCCAACCCTCTTATCGTTCATACCCACCCCACATAATTCATTCCCTTCTGTCTTCAGGTATGCACCTGTTATAGGTATCTGGGACATGCTACAGCCCTGATGGTCAATAGGCTCTTACAGAATGTCTAGGATCCATTTACCACCTAATAGCCTACTAAATCCTGCTGGGACCTTAGAGCTAGCATTTGAAAGGTAGAGCAGAAAAATGCTCTTAACTAGCAATTCTGAGAGAACGTAACTGAAAGCCACTGTATTTCTAAACCTCATTCTAGCTGGTTACTCTATCCCACCCCTAACAAAACTAATGGCTTGACTGATCTCTTATCTTTCGTTTCAGAGTAAGGACCCAGAGCGGCGAGGTGGCTAAGAGGGCATGGTGCTGGGGAAAGCAAGTGCCAAAAGGCTGGGCCATCCTCTCACTCGGTAAACCAGGGCTTTAGCAAGAGAAGCCCCTGAGTTCTCAATGGCTGTCTATATCCTCAGATATTGACCTTTGGAGAACATTTTATTACTGGGTCATGCTAAAGCTCCAGAGATGACATATTCCTAGAGCACAAACCATGGGCAGTTCTGGCCACTGGTTCTGTCAGATGGAGAGACCTAACTGGGAAGCATGGATAAAGAAAGTCAAGGCCAGGCTGACGCCACGGAAACTCCCAAGTCTGACTAAGCTGTTGTGACAGAATACAGGAATCTGCTACCCTCTGTGGAGGGCCCATAACCCCTGCCATCTGTTGGTGATTGTTAACTCTGGCCCCAGCCTCTGCACAGGACCTCCAGCCCACAGATGGATCTAGTGTTAGAGAATTAAGAACACTGCTCAGATCAATTTCTCCCTGGGGTAGGGGTAGGCAGGTCTTTACCACTGCCCAGAAGCTGGGCCAGCTCTCTGGCTTCATAGCTCCTGGGCTACATGGAGACAGGCTAGAAGAGGTGAGCGAAGGAACCTGGCACTGGGAGTAAACTACTCCCAGGCATACCTCCCAGGGGTCTTGGGCCAATCCTTGCCCATTTTTTTCTGTGGGGTGGCCTGGTGCAGAGGGGCAGCTTAGAGGCCAGTGGGTCAAAAGGCCAAAGATCCCACAGTGCATTTATATCCATGTGGTAAGGAGGTTCTGATGAGCATTAGAGCTGGATGGCTCTGGCTGACAGTGACAGCCACAAACGAATTGAGACTTCTCTCTCTGATCTAAGCTTAAACGGCCTTCAGGCTGGAATTACTCATCAAGCAAACTCAGAACACTGATACAAGGTACAACCACCCACATGTGGAGGCTTGTGCTTGGAAGGAGGAAGAAGGAGACGTGACAGAGGTTTAGAGGTTTAGGTTGAAAAGAAAGCACAAGGGTCCCCAAGGCTATGATGACTATTGTGTTTGGTTCCTTACAAGTTAGTCGCACAATTATGTTTGTGGAACTGGCCTGGTTTTAGATTACTTATTACAGAGAAGGACTCCTTTTTCTTTGCTGGATATGCTATAAATCTAAACAAAACCAACACAAAACAAAACAAAAAAGAAAGAAAGAAGAAAGGAAGAAAAACACTTCCTACACTTATAGGACATTTAATTTAACGTGCTATATGATCATTAGTTTCATGACTCCTCAAAGCAGCCCAGAAAGAGGCAGCCAGAGCTAGCTTTTAGCTCCCATAGGGAAGCTCCAGCAATAAGGGAGGAGAAAGGGAAGAAGAGGGTAGTCTCTGAGCCCTAGAGGCTAGGATTTCTTGGCCATTAAGGCCTGGAGTTGTGATTACTCAAAAGGTAAACTCAAGTGCCCTGAGGGCTGATGGTGGCATGCTGGTTTGTACCCTGGAATGCTCCAAAACCAAGGAGAGCCCTCCCCACTTCCTATCCCATTCTGTAAGCCCAGGATCCTGATCTATTTTGGCTATGGCCACCTCTCAATGACACAGAGGCCTCTTCTTTTCCTGAATGTCCTCAGCAGGTCTTTGGGTATTTCCACGTGTCACCCTGCTAAGAGGTGCGAGGTTGAAAAGGAGAGAATGTCAAGCTCTGGTGGAATGGCTGGCTGTGGGGAAAGCAGGAATGGGTCAGCTAAAGGAACCGATTCCTATGAGGCTGGGAAACAGATTTTAGTGATCTGGGTGGGCTTTGGCCCTATTGTGTTTGGAAGGAAGCTTTTAAACCCTGCTGATAGCTAGGGCTAATAAGCACATGGCTTTGTTGCCAGCTAGGCCTCCAGAATGCTACAGAGAAGCCGATTATTGTACTCGGCTGTTGATCCACAGAAAATGGATGAACCAGTACTTCTTGGAGCTAGAGGTTTTCAGGAACAGAGGAGTAAAGGACTATTGAGAGAGGGAACTGGCTGAAGGGAATCCCAGAGCTCATTTGGACACATAATGAATAAGACATCTAAGCACCAACTCAAAGGTCAAAATGCTCCCCATTTCAGCTGGGTACTGAGAATGCTGGGATTAGGCCTTGCCTCTAATAGAGAGTCTTCCACGGGAGACATAGGTTCCAGATCTTAAAGCCATGGGCCTTACCACCAGGAGGTAAGGGAGACTGCTGAGGAGTTCCCTCTGTCAGGGCTGAATTTCAGGCTCTCCACTAGCAAGAGTGTTGAGTGTGCCAGGAAGCTGAGTGGGAACAACCCTTTACCTGGCACCAATGGGGGAAAAATCCTGCCACCACTCCCAGCCCCAAAGGAATTGGTAAGCCAAGGGTCACTCTAAGGACCAACGGTAGAGGAGGCAGCCAGCCAGTTGGGACCAGGCTGGTTTAGTAGATTAGTATGTCAGGGTGGGGACAACTCACAGGGTAGGGATTTTAGTGTAGTCATTAGTGTCAATGAGGAAACCAGAAGGACTTGCCTCAAAGTGATGGAAAAGGCCCAAGTGAATAATATACTTACTCTCTAGATATCCTAGGGAGGAAGGTCATTGGGAGAGAGAACCATGGGAAACAAAGTTAAAATGGAAACATCAGTCTCTATCTTGGTCTGGAGAAAGTTGCATTCTGGGCTCTTAGTTTCCTGGCTCCAAACACATACCTCTGCATCCAGCTCTTACCCACTCTCCATCTCCTCCCCTTCTCTCCCCCTATCATACTGCATAGTAGGAAGGATATACCTTAGCCTCTCTTTCTGCTTAAGGCTCCACTGACCTCCTAGACTCTGATCTTTGCCTTCCTAGGATTTGAGACCTGTTTGACTGGCCATATATATAGACTTGCTCTACTGCCTAGATGCAGGGTACTCTTCTAAAAAGCTTCTAAGAAGCTGGGGTTAACTAGTTTGGTGATAAGAAAAAGTTTCCCTTTTACTGAGTCTTGGTCTCTGGCCTGCCAGCTCTCAACTAGGTTAGCAAAAGCCAGAGCCAGGCTGCAACGTGTAGCAGATCCCAGCAACTGGGTGACATGTTGGTTAGCTGTGAGATGTTCTGGAGCTGGCTAACCCCATCTCAGTGGTAGCACCTCAGCTTCAGAGATGCTACAGCTCTGTGGCAGCAACCTTTGCGGGCTAGTGACTGCCTAAGGCAAGAATTCGACACCTTCTCCAACAAAGCTTTCTTGGGACACACCACAGTAAAGCTCAATTTGGCAGGTGGCAGAAGGGGGTGCAGGTGAAAGTTTCAGTAATTATGAGAGTTTCTCTGCTAGGAATCAGAGAAGCCATCTGTTCTATGGGGCTGGTCTATCCATCATCATACCCCAAATGGTTGGGGCCAGCCTCACTCTGTTCACCAGGCTGGCCTGAGCCCCAAATGAAGGCATCTTCCTTTCTTCTCTTGTCATCTGTAGTTAAAGATATGCTGCCACATTAAGCTCCAAGGTAATGTCAGAATCCAACTGACCCATACTTGGCCTAACTTGTTGGGGCTCAGGAATTTAAGAGGCTACAAGAGGAAGACTGGCCTGCCAGTCCAATGATGGAGAATGCTAATAGTACCTACAGCAACTTCAAGAACAGGGCCTCTGTGCTATCTTTTCAAGGTATTGGCAAAGAGAAAATTATCTCCTACACCAAACCCCCATCTATATCTCCCCACCTCCCAACACAGACCACTGGACTGGGTACTCACTTCTCAAGCAGGGTCAGAGCTGTCACTGGGTTTACCCGGAGGTACTTGCAGTTGGGCTGACCATAGTCAGCAAGGTAGGTTGACCAATCCCACTGGATGAAGAGATCCAAAAGCTGTAAAATACCCAAATCCCCACCCCAGGGATTGATCAGATAGACAAGACAAACCAGGATCTTAGAAACCCCTATCATTCTTCATTACCAGTTAATAGTAGATTTGAAAAATAAAAATGTAGTAAGAGAAGGGCTGACCCGTTGGCACAGTGGTTAAGTTTGCACGCTCCACTTCGGTGGCCCGGGGTTTGTGGGTTCAGATCCTGGGTGCGGACCTACGTACCACTTGTCAAACCACGCTGTGGCGGCCTCCCATACACAAAATAGAGGAAGATGGGCACAGATGTTAGCTCAGGGCCAATCTTTATCAGCAAAAAGAGGAAGATTGGCAACGGATATTAGCTCACGGCCAATCTTCCTCACACAAAAAAACAAGGTAGTAAGAGAAAGAATGGCTACAGACTGTACTGCGACTAAGAAAATAAATCAGTAATCATTAGAAGGCAGAGTCATTTCTGTCATAAACACTGTAATGTTGCTGAGCCTAATGCCAGCAGTTAGCTCTCAGAGGCAGGCCTGTAAAGAAACTAACACTGGACTGAATCAAAACACAAGACTATCATAATAATCACTCACTTATTCATTTAATAAATACTTATCAAATGCCTTCCATGTACCAAGCACCATTCTAGGAGCTCAGTATTCAACAAAGAACAAATAAAGGTGGCTGTAGTCCAGTGCCACATATGCAATTATATGAGCTTTGAGGTTAAAAGGTCTGGGTTCAAGTACCAGTTTCATATCTTGCTGCATTGACTTTGCCCAAGTTACTCAGTGGATACAGGCAGATACACATGTGTATATACAAACAGGACACACAGACAACACAGAAACACTGAACCAAGGCATAAATGGATCACATAGCATTTACATGAGGCAATATGTGTTACACCTATGTGGACACTGGCTGAGCAGATGGAAACCAGGGCTATGGTAGGTCAGGACTGAAAAATAGTCTTAGTTCACTATTGAGGATGCAGAGTCTGGAACTGCAGTTATGAGTGTAAAAGAGGAGTGCCAAGAACCCAGATGTGTATTTATAAGAAAATAATGAGAGTTTTCTGAGGGTAAAGTGAGTTCTCAGACCGGGGGAGATTTTGACTTGGAGAAACTAAATAAATTTTGTCAAATTTCCTAGCCAGTTTTAGCCTCAGGCATCACTCTAACAAATATTTAAAAACTATAACTGAGTAAAGCTAAAAAAAAAAAAAAAAAAAATCAGTGCATTTCAAAGGTAGAGGTGATGAAAGGGAAGCTGTTAGGTCCCCTCTATAAGCTTCTAGAGGGAGCACAGTCCCAGATTCACATCATTGTATAGAAGGGGGCCCTCTAAACAGTCTTTCTAGCAATGAGAAACATATAAATGTTTTTTGACTCATGACATTTCCTATTTCTCCCTTTCCAAGAGATAACTGCTGATGGAGACAAGGACATGGCTGTCTCTCTGTGCAGAACAAAGGCAGAGAGGCCCCGAGTCAGATCCAATGCCAGAGCCTGGGCTCCAGGCACACCTCCTCCCCTGTCTGTCCTCACGGCGCAGCTGGGCAAACAGGCAGTGTGGGCCTTGCCCTGCTTGGAAGCCTCCTCTTCCATCCATTCTTTTAGAATAGCTGTTATGAACTTCCTCAGGCAGGATGGGAATTGGCTGAAGTCCCAAGCCTAAAACTAAGAAAAGCCCGTAGACCCTCAGCCAAGAAAGGAATGTTAAAGATGAGAGGAGAGAGGGAGAGAGACAAACAGATACATTGGTTGGTCTGGCCAGTGTGGCCCCAAAGGGCCCTCTCAGGCCTCTTTTAGGTCATGCCTATTTTAGTTGGCAAGTAAAAGGGCTTCTACCACTTCCTTTTGCTGCCTCGAGGCCTCACAGAGCTCTCCTTTAGAAGAGAATTTTTCCTGACTTTCCTACTCTAACTTTGGTATTTCTGTCCTGTAGTGTCCAAAGACCACGCAAGATAGTTCCTCTTTACTTGCTCCTAGCGAGCACGCTAGACACTCAGAGTGTCTAAAGTTCTTCTAGTACTGTGCTTTATAAATATGTTTATGCTTGTCCCCCAAATCTCAGGAAAAATTATGAAAAAGGATAGAATTTTTTAATTAAAATTTTTTCTCAGAAAAATGTAAAAAACCTTATACTGTTTGCACACTAGGGAGCTAATAAAAGAAAGGTGAATGAACAACAAATAAGTTTAATTGGAAAAATTTGAAAACCTGATTTCTTAAAACTCTTTTAGGTATTACTTTTCAGATGTGGACATATACATGCATTTATAAAACTACCTTCTTTATTAATGAATTCCTAATTTCTGTGATGGAATTAATGGTATCAGTATTTTCTGATTTATTGCAAAGAACACCATGTCTTTCTGGCTGATGAAACCTGGGTAAATTACCAATGGGGTGTGGAGGGCAGCTCATGACTTAGCTCTAAGATTTCCTAATCTTCCTGCCAAAGTCTCTCAATACCAGTACTGAGCCTAAGAGCCCTGGGATGACAAGCTCCCTAATTGATCCCACTCCAGGCATGGAAGCGACACACTCTATTAAGCTCAACCAGTATGAGCCTGTAGATCACACTCTGGGTCCGTGTTGCTTCCACAGTCCTTTAGGGTGTTCTATATCTAGGTCTCCTAGCCTCCTCTGAGAGAGATGGACATAGACTGGAGTGTGGGGGGTAGTTAACTAAGCTAGCTGCCTGGGAGCACAGTTCTACTGGATTCCATAGAACAGTGTTAGACTAAGAGGCCAGGAGAACCAGCAGGCCTATTGATCAATACACCATTTTGATTTTCAGACTATGACTTTCAAAGGTGGATCAGGTCCTCCCAGCCTGGTTCTCCACATACCATGGCCTTGTTAGATCTCAGTAATGTCTCTCTCAGGATGCAGAACATTCAGTCATCGCTAACAATCACATTCTTCTTTATTTTTTAAATTTTCCATTTAGAAATAATTTCAAATTTATCAGAAAGTTGCAAGAATAAGCATATTACAAAGAATACCATGTACCCTCCACCCAGATCCATCCGTTGTCAACATTTTATCCTATATGCTCCATCATTTGTGTTCTCTCTCTCTCTTTACACACATGTGCACATGTCATATTTCTTTTCTGAGTCTCTTGAGAATAAATTGCATATATCATGGCTCTTTATCCCCAGATACTTCAGTGTTCCTAAGAATTAGGGATATTCTCTTACATAATCACACTATAATTATTAACTTCAGTAAATTTAATATTGATACTGTCCATATTTTAATTTTATAAATTGACCCAATAATGTCCTGTATAGCCTTTTTTTTTTGCTTCACTGTATCATATAGTTTAGGATTAGGTATTACATTTAGTTGTCTATTTAGTCTCCTTTAATCTGGACTATTTCCACAGCCTTTTTCTTTCTTATATGATATTGACATTTTTGAAGAATATAGTCGCCTGCCTTCTTTTTTCCTCCTCAGTTTTGTTTTTTCTAATGCTTTCTCATAATATTTAAGACATGCAGAATACTACATAAGTGATGCTATGTCCTCCTCAGGGTATCACATCTGGAGGTATGCAACGTTCTTTTGTCTCATTGGGGATATTAATTTTGATCACCCATTTAAGATGTTGCCTGATTTCTCCACTGTTTATGTATTATGTTTTCCTTTGCAAATAGTAAGCATTTGAGGAGACAATTTAAGATCATGCAAATAGACTGCTCCTGATTAAAATTTCCCTTTAGATTTAGCATTCATTGAGGATTCTTGTCTGATTCAGTCTTTACTATGATGCTTGCAAACTAATGACATTCCAACTTCATCCTTCCCCCTACACATTATCAGTTGTTACTCAGCATTCTACTGTAAGCAAGTGCTCTCCCTTCTCCCCCATTAATTTACCTATTATTGGTATGGATTCATGGGTTCCCATGTTTTCAATGGCTTACATTCATTACTATATCTAATTATTTTGGTGCTCAAATTGTCCCAGATTTGGCAAGTGGAAGCCCCTTCAGGCTGGCGCCTGTGTCCTTGTGACATGCCCCCATAATTTTTTGGAACACTGCTTTACTTTCTGGCATAATAAGGTGCTGCATGCTCATCTTGCATCTACTGTGCCCCAGCTCTGTAATCAGCCATTTCTCTGAGAAGGCCTGGTTTCTTTTAGTAGGAATGTTATTAGAGATCAAGATTTGGGTGCTAGGTGTGCTCACTGCTACTGTAGTGTCTTTGTTCATTGCTACTGGGGGGCAATCTGTGGAGAGCTAAGCCCTTTCAGCAGACAAAACTAGGAAATATATAAACACACATGTATATGTGTGTATGTATATGTATATGTGTATATATACACATACATATATACGCATACACACACGACACATGCACACATATAATACATACATACATGTGCACTTATACAAGTATGTACACACACATATTTTAAAAATCATGACTTTACACCAATATACCTCCAATTCTAATCATTCTCACAGAGTCCTTTCTTGCCTTCCTCTTTTCCATATACGTATGTGCTTTCTTCCACAGTGAGAATCCTGGCTCTCAACAACATCATCTCATTTTCTAACGTGCTCAATCCTATATCTAAAATAGGTTCAGAATTGTTTGTACATAACACTATAATAAAAAAATCCTACTAAAAAAAGAGTTCAAGATTCTCCCTCCCATCCCAAGACTGAGTTGAGTGTGTACAATGAAATACCATGTTCATAAGTCACTTGGATTAGCTCTTTTTTATTTTCCCTTCAGTTTAGTTATGGTATTCATCTAAATGCAACTTAGTTCATTTGTTTCCATTTGCTTTTAGTTTTAGACTCCTCTCTGCCATCCTTATTAATTTAATTTTTTTTAAATATGTAGGCCATTAACACGGTTCCAAAAGTCAAAACTATACAAAAAAGTTAAGTCAGAGAAGTGTCACTCCTTCCCTCATTGTATCTCTTTGACCCCAATGCCTCCCATGCCTTATAGGTAACCAACTCCACTGTTTTAGATTTGTCCTT